AGTCGTTGCGGATATATTAGGAGGAATTTGGGTGGAAATAAAGTATTTAGGTGTGATAGGTGTGGACTTCAGATTAATAGAGATCTAAATGGCGCCCGGGGAATTTTTTTCCGGGCATTGCTTGATGGAGCCTTAGTTATGTAACATAGCTATGCCAATTGATTGATCCATCCAAGTCCAGGAATTAATATTAGTCGTAACCAATCGCGTCCAGTACATTTTTGCCAGCAGAACCAGTTTATAAATCGGTCCATGCGATTTCATTGCAGACAATAGAATGTTAAAACTAAAACATGATGCGTTTCGCAATTTATAACACCAATTAGCCCTCACATTCAAACTATGTGTTCGAGAACAGCTTTGATGCGAACCTATCAAGGTTCTGAGAATGACTTGCAGTATAGTGGCCGAGAAAAGAAGCGAGAATTACTGAAATATCAATCGATTGTTTCTTCCTTTTTTATTGTATTGCTCATTGCCCAACAAACATGGTTAAGTACTAATGAATTATACGGATGGATTGAATCGATTTAATTATTTGGCGAATGTCTACATCTCCAGCAAGCTTGTGAATGTAGGTGAACTGATAACCAGTAAAGATAATATTGCAGCACTTAAAGCACGTGGTACAGCCTTCCTTAAATACGTAATAGTAAGTTAATATGCATTTCATAGTAATAACAATTTTGGTTGCAGAAATGTTAACCATCCATCTTTATCCGATTTGGTTTCTTTATCGACGGGAAAACGTATGCAGTTTCTTATTCTTTTACCAACCTACGTCTCTTATTTCTCCACATTCGTTGTGGTAATGGTCAAATTCCATGCGCACATTTATTGCGAGCTCGGGAACTACGCCATGTTTGGTTCCTAATCTATTGTTATCAGTTTGTCGTATGACATACACTTGAAACAGGATCAATCGTCCAATCACATAATCAAAATTTTCATATGCTCGGTGATATGTAACACACAGCTCTTATATACTTTAATCGTTCATACATAATTCTTTTCGTTCTTCCAAAGAGAAGACGGAATGAGACACCGGCAGGCAAACGATCTTTTTGCCGGTAATACATCCTTCCTCGACAAAGAAATAATTCTTCTATCGCATTCATCTATCTCAATTCCTATGGTGTATTCTAAAGTGCCAACGACGACAACAGCCTCAACGACCCCGTCGCCTTATTTGGCTCAAGCAGCATCACTACAAGACGAGCAGTCGCGAATAAGGAATGCCTTTGCGGCCTTGGATCATGACAGAGACGGCTACATAGATACCCGTGATTTATTGAACGTTTATTCAAAGACTTTTTACGGAAAGGAAGGCTTATTTATCGATGAAGTAATATCCCTCGAAAGATAGATTATCGATTATCGACTTTAAAAGAATGAACTTTTACAGTCCATTCATCTTAGCGTACCACCAGACTATTTTGGAATAGAGCTCGACTAATTCCCCTAATTTGCTGCTACATTTTAAAAGGCAATTGTCAATGCTTTGATCGATCTGGCATCGACTCCATCACCTACCGCTTCACCCACCTCGCCCTCCTCGAACAACATCTCCTTTGAGCAATTTCGTCAATTGATCAATAAATATAACATAAATATTCTTCCATTGAGTACCGATCTTGCCCAATCTCAGAAGTCATTGGAAACCTTGTTGAGTGATTTGGTGAACCTTGGTCACATGAAAGAGACTCTGGCGCAACAGCAGCTGATGGCTGAACAACAGGAAGCAGGGAACAGCAGACCTTATTTATTGACATGGCAATTTTGGGCGTCTAGATTCTCGTTGACGGCTGTTAAGCATCTTATAGCTGGTGGAGTTGCTGGAGCTGTGAGCAGGACGGTGGTGAGTCCATTAGAGCGAATGAAAATCCTGTTTCAGGTAAGAGTGGATCTGAGCAACGAATCGAGACGCATTATTGTCCAGCTAACATTGATATCAAGCTTTGTGTCTATCGCTCACAAATATATGCTAGGTTCAAGGACCTGGTAAGGAATCATATCACGGAATAATACCAACACTTAAAAAGATGTGGCAAGAAGAAGGTCTTGTCGGATTTCTTCGCGGAAATGGAACAAATGTAATTCGCATTGTTCCATACAGTGCCACTCAGTTTGCTGCATATGAAAAGTATAAACGTGTAAGTAATGGTATAAATGGTGATAGATTATAGTATGTAGCTATGATATGCTATTTACGTATGTATCTTACTGTACAGTCTAATCGTCATTAATCGATTCGCATGTAGCTTCTCTTGGAAGAAGGTAAAGAAGAACTAGATGCAAAGCGACGTTTGGCAGCAGGTGCATTAGCAGGAATAACGTCTGTCACATGCACATATCCACTGGATCTTGTGCGGACCAGGCTCTCCGTACAGTCTGGTACTATTGGTCGAAAAGAAGTGCAAAAAAAGGTGCCAGGCATTTGGACAACTATAAAGCATATCTACAAAACTGAAGGAGGTCTTTTTGCATTGTATCGAGGGCTATCCCCCACACTCGTGGTAAGTGTTTTCTAATATAGATTCACAATATTGCCGCAGATATTACATGTAATGTTTGTATCTTGCAAATTTTTTGTTAAAATTATTTTCGCACGATTTTATCTTTAATATTTCCAAGGGTGTGGCTCCATATGTTGGATTAAACTTCCATGCGTACGAAGTCCTTCGAAAGTATTTTACGCCTGCGGATCGTACATCCCCACCAGTTTCACAAAAACTTCTCTGTGGAGCCATGGCAGGAGCATTCGCTCAGACAATAACATATCCGTTAGACGTACTTCGCAGACGCATGCAAGTGACCGGAATGGATAGGATGGGATATAAATACAAGAGCACATGGCACGCTGTCCAATGTGTTATGGCCGAAGAGGGGTTAAAAGGTTTTTACAAAGGCATGATGCCGAACTATCTTAAAGTTGCGCCTGCCATAGGTGTCAGCTTTGTTACATATGAAGCATGCAAAGATTTACTAGGTGTATAACACGAGCTTATATGAGTACGGCGATGAAAACGGCAGGATCGATCGAATTTTGTATGCTGAATAAGCAAGTTCAACATATTAGATGAAGCGATAGATTAAAGATACACTGGGTTAGTTTAACATATACTTTGTTGAGTTTGTTATACTCGGGATTGAATTATCATTGCCGCCTGTTATCTGGTGCCTTCTACAAGATTAATAGATTTATTTCATGGACTTTGATCAGACGGTTTATTTATATAATAAGAAAATTAATGAAATATAGAAATCAATTGCATCTGACAAATTATTGAGTTGAAACATGAATACTAACGTATCAGAGATATTATGTATGTCGGTTTGTCGCTGTTTTCAAGATAATCAGAACGGCTGATGATTTGAAAATATGTTATATAAGTAGGGTTGGCTTGCAATTCACGAAACCTCTGTGAAAGCTAGAATGTCCGTACATCATAGAAATATTATCAATGTTTATAATCTCTACGAAAAGATCTGTTTTGGAGAGTCCGTTATATTAATCTCTTGTTTCTCATATATGGCTTCATAGCTCATCTTTAACCAATAACTCTTGGGTCAAAAAACTACCATCGTAACTATCAATAGCAGATGGTATGAACATCGAACTTAGCAGGCCCTCAATGGATTTCAGATTTGTCTGACCCCATTTCAATTAATCTCGCTTCTGCAATTTAGAGAACAAACTCAGTTTTATTTAAGGTGCTTTTTGACAGAAAATTGCTTCACGTGATGTCAGAATTTGATATATACTCGTTCGTATTACGTTGCCGAGATGGGTTAAAAGACGCCATTAGATCATCGCTGACTGATTACTAAGTTTCCGGACAGTCGCTGACACTAAGGGTTTGGCTACTGTAAAGCACATCAAGCTCTACATGCAAACCTAACATCGTATCAAGGCATTCGCTTGTCGTGTATTTCTGCTGAATGCCAATAGTGCGTGCTTACTTATTATTTATCAGTTTATTATTTGACAGTTTTACAATATAATATAAATGTAGAATAACTTGGCTCGAACAAATGACGCGTGAAAAGTGGCTTGGATAACAATAATAGTGTCTGAAATAGCATTCATTTTGAATAAAGTTTAAACTCGGGCATATTCTCATACGTATGCTCTACTACTATCATATGGCATTGATTTCTGTCAGGCAGAAAATTTATTTCTATAGAAACATCCGATGACATAGTCAAAGTCTTTTATACAATAACGTAGACATGCTTTGTGCCAATATTTAAGAAAATGTTTGGCTTATGATTTGGGGATTTGAATGTTCTAGGCTGCAAATTCCGTTACTATTACTATATTGTTTGCAACTATCACGTTTCATACAGCCTAATATAACACAGGAAGTCCGGTATGTTTACCTCACGCGATAATTTAAAGTGACAGTTCCGTATTATTAATAAAGATAGTCTCTGCAAAGCAAAAGAATTAATTCAAAGAAACAAACCCTATTTCTACTCACCTTGCCTAAGCGTCTCGGGTGTCGAACCCGTTATAGTGATGTAACATAAACGTTGAGAATGCTCTCTCCGTGATTATACTTATTCAAACGAATGTCATTAGTTCCAGGGGTTAATAATCCAGCGATTGACAACTTGGATCAATTCTCCTTGGAAAGTGAATATGAACACTTAAGACTTGAATGGATTACTTATGAGGAAATCACCGACATAGAGCCAACTCAAATTGACAACGTCCATTACAATGATAAGATAATGCTGGTATTCCTTGGAAGTAGCGAAGAATGTACACAAAAACTTGCGAGTGAGTTTGCCAGAAAATACGCACTTCCAACACACGAGTACAATGACGATATTAGTCAATTTAGACGGTATTCCGTATGGCTTGAGTGGCGCGATAGATGGATTTACCAAGTCTAATGATAGCTATTACATGGTTGCTGATAGAAAAGTTTTACGATTGTTATTCTCGATATGGCTTCTGCACTGCATGTGGACGTAGTCCTGTATGGTGCATTTGCGGTCATAAAGAATTATCCGATGGATGGACTAGCAGCTCAATCCAATTGGAATCCATGGAAATTATGAAAAGAGTTGAATAAATTAAAATGCTCTGTTACAAAAATATCTAATTTCATTTAATTGATAGATCACTTCGACTTGACTTGATTAATAACATGCCTAGCCATATTTATGCTTACCCGCCATTATTCGATAAAAAAGTTATCACGTGCAATGTAAATAAAACAATTGTCTCCGAGAAAAAATTTGAATTCAAACTATGTCGTTAACGTCAGGGGTTGTTAATAATCCAACAATCGACAACTTGGTTCAATCCTCCTTGGAAAGTGAAAATAAAAGACTTGAATGGATTCCTTACAAAGAATTCACCAACATAAAGCCAACTCAAATTTCCAACATCCATTACGCTTATCGTTATCACGCTCGTCGTCATTATGATAAGATGATGCTGCTATGCCTTGGAAACAGCAAAGAATGTACACCAACGGTTGTGAGTGAGTTTGCTAAAAAATACGCACTTCCAACACACAAATACAATAACGACGTTAGTCAGTTCAGAAGATACAAAAGATGGCTTAGATTGCGCAACAAACTGGTATATGGGTTCACCGAGCATGATAACAACTATTACATGGTTGCTAATAGATGCTTTTACCATTATTATTCCCGCTATGGGTTCTGCTCTGCATGTGGAGTACTCCGATGTAGTCCTGTGTGGTGCATTTGCGGTCATAAAGAATTATCCCGTGGATGGACTAGCAACAATGAGCAACTTGATGAGTTTATTAAGGACTCTCAATTACAAACAAGCTCGGCAAATGATGCCTATTTGGAATGGATTCCATTTGATTGTATTCATGATGTAGATGAGAGAGGTTATGCATGGTTAAATAGTGTACCTACTGATCAATATGTTACATTGACTCCACTTGAGATAACAGACGAGACGGATCATTTATATTACGCCGAGGTAAACTATTTACTTGTGCGTCATGTTTATTGAATGGTTTAAATAATTATTTGACATATTATTATGTATAATTTCCACTAGTTATGTGATGAGCATCCGGGTATTCTTGCCACGGATATTTGGGTTATCATCGGATTCACATATGATGCAAGTAAACAAAAGTATTATCTGATAGAAGAAAAGTACAAGGATGGATTATGTCTGGCATGTACGGAGCGATTAGAATCTGTGATAGATGCATTCTGTTATGAATGTAAAGCACCAAGACCTCTCTATTGGACTACGGGCAATGACTCCTTGGATTCATTTATTATGGAGTCGTGGAGTAATATGACAAGGGAATATGATGCATATATACAATGGATTGAATACTCTCTATTGATGAATGTACAAGAGATGACATCATTACGCCATGGATGCACACATATAGCAGAATGGTTAGAACCAACAAATGAATTGACACGTGTGATACTCAAAAAGATAGTTGACGAACGAGACGATCAGTTATTCGATTTTTATCAGGTGAATTATTTCACGTGTAAAATATTAACGTGTGTATCAAGCGGATTATTGTTGTAACGACTGTATTTGTTTACTCAAATAGTTAACTCAGGAATACCCGGAGATATTAACACCCGAGAATATTTGGATAATTGGGATCACTCGGGAGCCATCTACTCGGGAATATTA